TCCTGGGCTCAAGCGAGTCTCCTGCCTCCACCTCCCAAGTAGCTGGGACCACAGGCGCCCGCCACAACGCCTGGCTATTTTTTGGTTGCAGCCATCTTGTTGTTTGGTGGGCCCAGGCTGGATTTGAACCCGCCACCTTAGGTGTATGTGGCTGGTGCCTTAGCCACTTGAGCCACAGGCACCGAGCCCAGTGTAGCTTTTCTAAAAATAATTCTGTGTGAAATCACTTTCCTATTTCTGCCCTAAAATCTATTTGGGGTGGGGGACACACTTGAAACAAAGTTTGTTTTGGATACCCTTAGTCGCTTTCCTTTGATTGCTTTGGATTTTATTTAAAACTGTGATCAAACCCTGAACATAAAACTGTGATCAAACCCTGAACAATAAGTGGCATTAAACATAGTGGCTTCTTAATGTTTTAAATTATGACAACAGGCTTGGTGCCTGTAGCACAGTGGTTATGGCATCAGCCACATGCACCAGGGCTGGCTGTTTAAGCCTGGCCTGGGCCTGCTAAACAACAACTGCAACAAGAAAATAGCCAGCGTTGTGGCGGGTGCCTGTAGTCCTAGCTACTTGGGAAGCTGAAGCAAGAGAACTGCTTAAGCCCAAGAGTTTGAGGTTGCTGTGATGCCATGGCACTCTACAGAGGATGATATAGTGAGACTCTGTCTCAAAAAAAAAGAAAGAAAGAAAAGAAATTTATATTTGCTAATCTTTATTTTTTCATGCTTTCTTGAAGATTTTTTTGATACTTCACCAACTTATTACATATGCTTAATATGATCCATAGGCATAGTGGCTCACACCTGTAATCCTAGCACTTTGGGAGGATTGCTTTAGGCTAGGACTTTGAAATCAGTCTGTTTTTTTTTTTTTTTTAATTTTGCTTCCAACTGGCTTTCACTCATCTTAGTTTTTTTTAATTTTTTTTTTTTCTTTTCTTCCTTTAGCAATTCTCTTGCCCTTAGCCTCCCAAGTAGCTGGGACTATAGGCACCCACCACAATGCCCGGCTTTTTTGGTAGAGATGGGGTCTCACTCTGGCTCAGGATGGTCTTGAACCTTTGAGCTCAGGCAATCCACCCACCTTAGTCCCCCACAGCACTAGGATTACAGGTGTGAGCCACCACGCCCAGCCTGAAACCAGTCTGAATCAAGAGTGTGACCATTTCTGCTACAAATTCAAAAATCAGCTAGGTTCCGTGGTGTGTGCCCGTAGTCCTTGCTACTCAGAAGGCTAAGACAGGAGGATCACTTGAGCTCATTTGTTTGAGGCCACAGTGAGCTATGATCACACCATTGCACTCTAGCCTGGGCAATAGAGCAAGATCCCCTCTCTCTCTCTCTCAAAAAAAAAAATACATTCTAAATAAAATGAAAAAGAATTTTGAGAGATTTTCCTTTATATAAGCTATTCTTACTGTACTGTGGTCAAATTTTACTTGGCAACAAATCCTTGCAAACTTCGGTCACGTAAGTGATGAGTAAGACCGAAATACCACATTGAGTCACCTTATCAAATGCACAGTTTCAGAAAATGTAAACCTTTCCCCTGAAACTCTCAAATCATGTTAACTAGAATTATATTGTTTTTAATGTTGGAACTTGCAAAAATGCTGGGTTTTCTGTTTTTTGTTTTTTTGACATAGTCTCAGTTTGTCGCCCTGGGTAGAGTGCTATGGTGTCAGAGCTCACAGCAACCTCAAACTCTTGGACTCAAGCAAGTCTCTTGCCTCAGCTTCCCAAGTAGCTGGGACTACAGGTGCCTGCCAAAGCACCTGGCTATTTTTAGAGATGAGGTCTTGCTCTGGCTCAGGCTGGTCTCAAACTTGTGAGCTCAGGCAATCCACCCGCCTTGGCATCCCAGAATGCTAGAACTACAGGTGTGAGTCACCTTACCTGGCCAAAATGCTGGGTTTTGAATGTGGTTTATTAAATCATTTTTCAGAATGCGAGAAACATAATTATCACAGCTGTCACTTTTTTTTTTTTAATGATTTACAAGTAGTTTATGTGTTGGAAAGCACTATAGAGAACGATGAGACAGTTGAAAAATAAGGAAAAGAAACAACATTCCATGTTTATGCTGTAAACCACAGTAATCTGCATATGGATGCAGGCACACAAAATTTACATCTATCCAGGCAATATCTAAATTCAGAAATCTTTGGCACTCATACAAAGGTACTGGTTAAACCAAGCCAACAATGAGTAATTTTTTAATGTATTTTAGGAAATGTCTTTCCCCAATTTAAAAATGTAATACTCTCCACTCTAAAAATTTACTGAAATAAAGATAAGCTATGACCCAATCAGCTGTGACACAAAAAGGTGTAATGAACAGCAGTCATTGAAACAGGTGTAGGGTAAGAATCTCTTTAAAAGTATAAAAGTGCGCTGAGACCTTGTGTGTTTTAGAGTTTTGGACTTCAGATTTTAAAACATCTTTTGAGTAGTGCCTGAGTTGTATGGAATCCAGTCTTAATTTGTATACAAAAGTGTTAACAACTACACTTGAACATCTTACATTACAGAGCACAAAATTAACCTATATCCCTAGTACTTAACAGTTACCTGGCAAATACTCCACAGGTGCACACAATTGCACAGGCACATGCACAGCTGTCTTCCCTATGTGCTTCTATTGCTTCTTGCTGTTGTCCTAATTTGCTTCTCTTGAAAAAGGGCAATGACCTAGGTGCTCTGAAGGGATTCTCAGAGCTGGATGGTAAGTCCTCTGACTGGGGAACTTTACCCCTGGAGCTGGAAAATATCTGGTCGCTGCTAAGTGCAGCTTTATTTCTATTAGAGGTTCAGGCCATAAGAATCTTATATCTTTGGGAAAACATCTATAGTTTAGCTGTGGTCCACAAAGTGACTTTTGTTTCTTTGATCCCAGTGTCAGAATTAGAATGAGGGTTCTAGAGTGAGATATTTTGTACCAGGAAGCACTTTCCCCCACTAAAGAAACCAGTAAGTTTTTTCCTTTACACCACAATTTACAACACAAATAATTAGCATTTCTTGAATACCACAATGGATATTCTAGACTGAATACTGGAAGAACATGTTCCTGAAGGCACTGAAGAGAAATAGCATGAACAAGAGGCAGTTACTTCTAATAAGGCTTAGTTCTATTTAGTCAGAACTTCAAGAGTACTTTAACCTATCCAGCAGAATTAACTGTGGCTACAATGGCATTTTCTACTTTTCCATTAGAGCTACTGACTGAAGAAGCTTTTATTTGCATTTATAAAGAAGATGACAGTAAAACAGAATAGTCAAATTACTAAAGCCAGATGTCATATTAGGAAATGACAGCTTAGCTAAATACTAATTCCTTCCAGTCATATTCCTCAATCCTATCTGCTTTATAGGTTCCATTATTGATAACAGAAAGGGCTATAGTAATTGACTTGGACAATGGCTAGAGAAAACACTAATTTTGATACTAAAATTATCCTTGATAGAATTGGAATAATCTATTCTCAATAGAAGTGGTTGAAATATACCATAAAAACTTGACTTATAATCAGAAGAAAAATCTTAAAATTGAAAGTCTTTAAAAACATATTTTTGACACTTACCTTTCATCTAATCTTACTAAGGATGGGAATCTCAAATATGAACAAAAGAAAATTTCTTAGGAAGTTACAATACTTTTAAAAAACAAACCTTATCAGTAAGTTTGAGAGTGAGGCTTGCAGACACTATCACACAGAAAAATAGTATCTTAAAACAAATTTTTTTGTGTTATGAAGAGCTACTTGAGAACAACTAAGAAAAAAGAAAATTAGAAGCAAGCATTTGTTTTCTTTCTTTTTTTTTTTTTTTAGAGACAGTCTCACTTTGTCACCCTAAGTAGAGTACTGTGGCATCACAGCTCACAGCAACCTCCAGCTTTTGGGCTTAGG